GAAAAGGGGTAGCCACGCTCTAGTCGTTCTGTAATGGCATGCATGATTCTTTATCACAGAAAGAAATGATATAGAGATTTTAAAAGGAAATCCAGAAGCGACAGGAGATCATGTTCTGTCATGCCTTGAATATACCTTTTTGATCATTTTACGTTAGCCTTACGAGGACGGAAGGAAAAAAAAAGAGGAAATTCACCTTTGAGAAAGTGGCCTTTTCCCAACGGAAATCCATATATCAATTTTTTTTCTGACAGTTATTAGAATTAGCTCTCTGTGGAAGGCGTTGAACTTAAAAAAATGATAATAAATAAAAAATAAATAAAATAAATAAAACGCTAAATACCCGCAAACTACAACTACAAGAGAATAACATTAACACCAAAACACGTTCATTTCGCAGGTGTTAAGTCCTCGGCTCTTAGTGGAGGAAACACGGGTGGCGAGGCAGGCCTTAGCTGGGCTACTTTGGACCAAGCAGTTCTACCACTACATTGTTAAGGATTGGCTCGGGGGAGACTCGTGAGTTCATGGAGGATTTGAATTCATTGCGGATGACGAAGATGGCGAGAAGCGGAGATAGGAAACAAAGCGATAGGGAGGAGAGAGAAAGAGAGAGAGAGAGAGAGAGAGAGAGAGAGAGAGAGAGAGAGAGAGAGAGAGAGAGAGAGAGAGAGAGAGAGACAGAGACAGAGAAGATAGAGAGAGAGACAGAGACAGAGACAGAGAGAACAGAGACAGAAAGAGAGAGAGAGAGAGAGAGAGATGCTAGAGAGAGGGCTTAGAATAGAAAAATAACACGACTGACAAAGAGAAAAAGACAAAAAATAAAAATAATAAAAACGCACAGACAACCTTCAACCCATCCCTCCTTACCCCTCCCCCCCTCTCCCTCCCCCAGGGACCAGCCTCCCCCCCCAGCCTCACGTCACTATGGCCGCAATAGCGAGTGGGGTCATCTATTTAACCTGGACGTTATATCGATGCCTGACAAGTGGGAGTATCCTTGGGTGAGTATCTTTAAGGAGTGGAGTGAGTCAGGTTGGTGTGTTGATTTTATTTTTGCTTTTAATTAAGAGGAATGTTACAGTTTAGAGAAGTATATGGGCGTTATAGTGTGTGTGTGTTTTTCTCTCTTTTATTAAGATTTAGTAAGTGATAAATTAATACATTCCTCCATAACAATATAATTCCCATATTTGCATTACAACAAAAGTATTCCACTTACAATCTGAAATTATTCATATCCCTCCCATATCTTCATCAACATTCTCGTACCCTATCCCCCCCCCTAACGACCTATTTTTTTCACCTTTGAAAAGACATATTTCCCCCTGAAATGACCAATTTTCCCCCAGATATAACTTATTTCTCCCTGAAATGACCTATTTCCCTCCTGAAAGAACCTATTTCCCCCCTGAAATTACCAATTTCCTCCCTGAAATTACCAATTTCCTCCCTGAAAAGACCTATTTCCCCCTGAAATGACCTATTTCCCCTCCAAGACCTATTACCCCCTGAAATGACCTATTTTCTCCTGGAAGAACCTATTACCCCCTGAAATGACCTACTTTCCCCCCTGAAATGACCTATTTCCCTCCTGCAAGGACCTATTACCCCCTGAAATGACCTACTTTCCCCCTTTAAATGACGTACTTTCCCCCCTGAAATGACCCCCTGAAATGAACCTGACCCCCTGAAAGACCTTTCCCCCCTGAAATGACCTATTCCCCCCTGACCTATTACCCCTGAAAGAACCTATTACCCCCTGAAATGACCTACTTCCCCCCACAGTATGCTTCATGGGATCTCGCCTTCCACTGCGTCGCCCTGGCCTTCGTCGACGCAGACTACGCCAAAGATCAGCTGATTCTCTTCCTCAGGGAATGGTACATGCATCCCAATGGCCAAATACCTGGTAGGTCTTGTGCTAAGAAAGTGGTGTAGAAGTGCAGATAGATATATAGGTATGTAGGTTGATATATATATATATATATATATTATATATATATATATATATATATACATATATATATTATGTAGTATGTATGTATGTATGTATGTATGTATATATATGTAATATGTATATATATATATATATATATATATATATATATATATATATATATATATATATATACATGAATAGATAGATAGAAAGAAAGGTAGGTAAGTAGGCAGATGAATAGATTGGTATTTTGGTGGTAAGATAGATCGACGGATGAATAGATAAGTATAGTAGGTAGTAGATATATATACATAAAGAGAAAGATAGATAGGTAGGTAGATAGATAGTGAAAGAACGAGAGACTTATTCTTGATTTATTTACATTTCACGAATCCCATGTTGCAAACTCACTCTTTGCCCTCTCTCCTTACCTCCCCCCCTATCTCTACTCTTCTCTTAGCCTACGAGTTCGCTCTCGGGGACGTGAACCCGCCCGTGCACGCGTGGGCGGCCATGAACGTGTACAGAGGGAGTGGGCGGCGAGGTGCGAGAGACACAGCTTTCTTGGCGAGAACCTTCCAGAAGCTGTCCCTTAATTTTACGTGGTGAGTCTCTTTTAACGGGGTCGTACATTGTTTTGTTTTTTCCCCGTTTCTCGGTTGTTGTTGTTTTTGTGATTCTTTTAATGGTTGTTGGTGTTATTATCGGTATTTTTTGTAATCACCATCATTAGCATCACCTTCATCACCATCATCCTCATCTTCATTATCATCATCATCACCTTCACCCTTGTCTTCATTATCACCATCATCACCATCACCATCATCATCATCAACGCTCACTATCATTTACAATCCAAACAACTATCCTTAACCCCATGTAAAAGGAGACTTTACAAACGCCAACCTGCCTTGTATTGTAGTGCCTTGGTAGCGCTTTTGTCTCGCAATCTTGCTGACCTGCGTTCGATCCCGCGCACTGCCATTGGATGGTAACCCCGGCCATTTCTTGCACACGGGATAATTTAGAAGCAAATAAACAGACAGTATGTCACAGCCAAAAAGAATATCCAATTTAACAAATGGAACTAAACGAATTTTTTTATCTTTAACCTTCCATCCTCCTATCCTTCCATCCAGGTGGGTCAACAGAAAGGACCCCAACGGAAGGAATCTTTTCGGCGGAGGTTTCCTCGGTCTTGACAACATAGGAGTCTTTGACAGGTCTCGGCCGCTCCCCGTTGCTGGTCAGTTGGAACAGGTTAGTTGCGCGGGTTTGTGCTGGTTGAAAGATGGTTGAAGTCATCAGTCACCGTGGTATTTAACAACGGTTTATGGTTGTTGATGGGGGTAGGGTAAGTTTATGTAATCTAACAAAGTTATTGTTAGTTGTACAGATGATTTTTGTTGTTACAATTACGGTAATGATAAGAATAAATTTACAAGTAGTCTAACTGCACCGGTTGAACTAACGTCATTATCATTTCCTATACGCCGTTTCCACTACAACAACAAATGTGGCAACCCCTGCTTTTACACCTTCAACAGTAACACTTTACCACTACGACAACCACTGCCCATACATCTACAACAACAAAATCCACAACCGATTTGAAACGGCCATTACTATCACCCCCATAATCTACGAACTCCAACTGCTCTTCCTACTCCCCCAGGCAGACGGCACCGCGTGGATGGCCTTCTTCTGCGTCACGATGCTGGACATGGCCCTCACCCTGGCCGAGAGCGACCCCGTGTACGAAGACATGGCCTCCAAGTACTTCGAGCACTTCATCCTCATCGTCGACGCCATCAACTGCTCGGGTCAAGGGCGAGGTCTGTGGGACGAGGAGGACGGGTTCTACTACGACTTCATAAGGAGGGACGACGGCACGTCGATGCCGCTGAAGGTGAGGGGCGTTGGGGGGGGGGGGTTCACCGGCAGTTTATGGGTGGTGGCGTGGGCGGGGACTTGGGAGGAGGGAGGGGGTTGAATACAGGTGTAAAAATTTCTCTCTATGCATATGCTTACATACATGCATACATACTCATGCATACATTCATACTTACAGACATAGACAGACAAAGCATATAGTACATGCTTACATACTTATATATGCATGTATACATGTATACATACATGCATACCCACTACCTAATCTGCCTACATCCGTCCATCCGTCCTTCCTTCCATTTATTCATCGATCCAATCCATCCCTACCTACATACCTATCTACACCCATCGATCCAAACACACTCATATACATATATCCGCATCATGACGCACCTTTCCCCCAGGTCCGCTCCCTCGTGGGCCTGACGCCGCTGTTCGCCGTGCTCGTGCTGGTGAGGGAGGAACTGCAGGCGCTGCCGGGTTTCTACAAGAGGTCGCGTTGGCTCATCAACAACAGGCCAGATCTCGCCTCAAGGGTACTGTCCTCTAGCCTGTTACGTCTCTGTGTTGAATACATCCATTGAGAAGTATTTATATTTATGCTACTTACACTAAGGTGCAGTCCTCTAGTGTTTCTCTGTGTTGAATACATCCATTTCTAAATTGAGACGTATTTATATTTATGCTACTTACACTACTTACAAAGAATTCAAGGATAAAAGAACCATAAAAAAGATGCAAGCCGTGATTTGAATTATATGATATATCAATCATTATTAACATATGGTATATTAATGTTAATTGAATAAGACTTCAAGCATGAATTTAAAGCATTATAAGAACGCAAAGCAAACTCTTTCCTTCCTCTTTTCAGGTGACCTTCATGAGCGAGGGCGGGTCGCGTAGGATGCTGCTCGCCGTTCCCACGAAGGAGCAGCTCCTCCGACTCCTTCGATATCTGCTGGACGAGGACGAGTTCCTCTCTCCTCACGGCATCAGGTCACTCTCCAAGGTTCACGAGGTAAGCTTTTCAATTTATTTTTCTATCAGTGTGATGCGTAGTGCCGTGGTGGTGTTGTTGTCTGGTAATCTTGCTGACCTGCGTTCGATTCCCTCGCCAGTGGATGGTAACCCCGGCCATTCCTCGCACACAAGGGGGAGT